ATGCTACGTCATTGCTCTATCACGTACGCACAGTCGCTTCGCGCAATATAAGGTTTGCTAGCTGTGGGACGAGTGGGAAACTTACTTTTGGGACGCGCCTCGTATAAACTTCCTTTCCGTATAGACGTATTTACGTCAAATTCTCCAGAACCGTGGTTAAACTATCACTTTTATCACCCTTAAAAATCTATCTTCCTCTGCCGGGTTTGAACCCACAAACCTTGGGTCCAGTGGCGAGCAAGCTAACTATTCCACCGATGGCAACCACAATATTATATGTGGCTCTGTAATATATCTGTTATCTGTTTGATGTTGAGCATATTTTTGAAATAGATTTATTGGATTTAATAGCTGTACTTTGATTTATGTCTTATTTTGAATGTTTGTTCAATTCGACCTGTTGTTGTTTTTGTTGCAGGTATTGACTCAAGACATAGCCTTTCAGAATGCAGACCATAAAGTGTGTTGTTGTGGGGGATGGTGCAGTTGGTAAGACTTGCTTGCTCATCTCTTACACCACCAACAAGTTCCCTTCAGAGTATGTGCCCACGGTAAGCACTAGAGTTTTTATGAGCTCGTAAGGCCTGAGGGCTCTGAATTTCTGATTTGCGTTAGGTAGCTGAGAGGGTGTTGCCAGTAGATTGAGTCTGCGACAACATTCTGTCTGGTACTCTGAAGAGCTTTGTCCGTGGCAGTGGGGCTGACGCGGGAGGAACATAATGGACTTTGTCTAGATTATAAAGGTGGCGACTGACTTGTAACATTTGCCTGTAATGTAACGTGTTACAAATCGAGCATTACACAAGTGAAGACAGCGAACGGAGCCGCTCACGCTCGCGGGCGCTCCATCGTGTTGTCGGTTTTTTCGCGAATCCCTTTGAGTGTTACATTACAAGTCAGTCAGTCAGTCGAGCGGCGTCATAACGAGCATTCACGAGTTCTTTATATGAGAGTAGCGTATTAAATGGAACAAAGATAACACAACCTCCACGTCCGACATATTGAATGAAATAAATGGAGCACACATGAGCACAGTCGAGCCGAGCGTTCAAAACGAGCATTCGATACGCCTCACCAGTTGTGGTGTAATGTAACATGCTCGCCGCGAATGTTACATTACGAGTAAATGTTACAAGTCAGTCGCCACCTTAAGGCTTTAACTCTATATAATTTCTCTCTCTGCTCTTCCATCTAATCTGTTTCACCGTTGCTATGAATACTCCGTAATAGTTTGCGGTTCCTTCACCTGCATGGAAAATAGGCAAAGTCACACTCTTTTTCACTCCTTGCTTACGCTGGTAATTCACATTATTTATTTCTCCAGCTTAACTATGAATAGTTTTACCCTCTGTTGTACTGCTGGCCATTTGTAAAGTGTTTACTTTATATCACGAAAAATTACAAAACAAAAATTTACAGACAATTAAGTTTAATTATTTTGCACACAGAACATGACTTGGTCTTTCGCGCATTGTTTTCTCACCTGGAATGCATCAGCTTGTAGCTACAGACATACTACGTTTGGACTTCTGCATGGATTCATACTGCCACGGTCAAAGATTTTCTTTGGTAGCGATCAGTAGATGGTCTCGTAGTGCAGTGAAATTTTTACGAAAACCTCAGCTTTTTCAAATATGAATCATGAAGTACGGCTTTGGAGATGAATCACTGATCTGTATAATTTATGCTGGTTTACCAAAATACTACGTGTACAAATCTGCATAGGAATTCACTGAAGTTTGTTGAGTCTCATAAGAAATCAGCGTAGAATCAGCAGACCTTCAGAAAGGCCCCACACTGAACTATTTCCCGCATTGATTACAGCAAACGAGGTACAGTTTTGTGTTTTGTAGTGCTGAAGTCCAGCAGGGATTGGTCTGTGTCTGGGTTAGTGGGAGCATTATATCCTAGTTGCTTTTGTTTAGATTTTATCGACATGTGGACACGTTTTGTGCTGTAGTGATAATAAGTGTATTTTCTTGTGTTTTCGACATCCAACAGCAGCATCTAGCTTGAAAACATAACTGTTGTACATGTTTCAAACACTGCTGTTTACACTGTATGAGGGACAGTCAAAAAGTTCCCGGAATTGTGGTATAGCACTGTAATGGTAGGACATATGGCAACGCTTACCTAATCACCTTCAAAGTAGGACCCTTGCCCACACACACACACTTGCTCCATCGATCCTGCCATTGTTCGAAGCACCAGCGGAAGGCTTCGTTTGGAATCTTCTGGAGTTCGGCCGTCACATTCGATTTGATGTCCTCCATGGTTGCGAAACTCCTCCCCTTGAGGCCCATTTTCAGAGCATGGAACAGCCAGAAGTCACTCGGAGCGAGATCCGGAGAGTTTGGTGATGACGGAAATGCTTTTCTCGGCAAGGAATTGCCGCACAACCAGCGATGTGTCGAAGTGTGTGTGTGTGCGCGCGCAAGGGTCCTACTTTGAAGATGATTAGCTAAGCGTTGCCATATTTCCTACCATTACAGTGCTGTACCACAATTCCGGGAACATTTTGACTGCCCTACGTATACAAATGAAGTGTGCGCTGATATGCGTCTCACCGTGGTTTCTGCGCTGGGAGTACAAGTGCAGTTGCAGAATATCGGAGGCAGTTCCGAGACCAGAGAGTTTCTGTTAAATAAGTTTTTGTCGGCATTTCACAGACATTTGCGGGAAACTAACATTTTTCCCTTTCACATTTTTATCAGAATGTCCCTGCAGACATGATGAAAATATTATCGTCATGTTTGAACATGGTTTTCTCCAGAGCACTACAATAATTTCTTCCTTGCTTGATATACTTCATGTGTCAGTCTTGCAGGCATTAAATTGTCTAGGCATGTACCAGTGTGATATTCACCCCATTAAATATGTAGAACCATGGGGATATGATGTAAAATTACAGATTTGGTGGTGGATTGTACGCAGAATTGTATCCCTTGATTTTGTTCACTGGTGAAACACAATGAATGAATTATATGCGTGACACATATTTGTTGTGTACAGAGAATGACTGTTTACCAAAATATCGGATAATTCTCAGCATTTGACGTGGTTCTTTCCCAAAGATCAAAGTTTTATATTGGCAAAAACCTAAAGATGAGGTTGATTGGTCAGGTTTTTTTAATGTTGCTGTTTTTAGTACAAAAGTTTTATAATGCTGGCTGTTTGAACATGATTTGCAGGTGAGTAGCAAATCGTAGGAAGTCATAATGTCGGGAATCACTCGCTCGCGCTATGGTGCGGGATATTCCTTGAAAAGTTTATTGTTATTTGTCTTGTTGTTGAATAGCCCACTTTCTGCATGGAATCTGAAGGTCATAAGTAGGGAATACCAAAGTTAAATGGCATGATACATTCTTTACTCACGGAACCTGCCACACGATAAAAAACTAGAAAATACACTTTTCTGTAACACTTGCATGCCCGTCCATGAATTAAAAAGTGAGAAGGTAAGAATTTGCAAGTAAGTACTTAACAGTTTCAACATACCGGAGATGCTGAAGAAATCCACAAACATAATAGTCAGGATGACTGGTAACTTGGCTAGCATTTGAACCATGCACCTCCCCAATACAAGTCTAGACTGCACATTAAGTCATTAAAGAAACATTTTTTTTTATTTTTAGTGTTCTGTCTGATGACAGGTCCATATGAACAGGATCCTTCCATCCTTTTCTCGGACTGGGACCTGTTCATATACGTTCTTGGCAGATGATCCAGAAGTGGTTTGCCATTGCCTTCTTCTGCGTGTGAATGGAGTAATTGTTGGGATGCCACAGAGAAACCGGGGAAGCCCCCGGAGGAAAACCCCGTGTTGCCTAGACCACGATCTTGCCCAACACAAGTTATAAATTCCGGCACCGCCGGGAATCGAACCCGAGACACCAGGATTACAAGGCCAGCGTTCTAACCGCTAGCCCACCTCATCTTATTATTATTTAGTGTTCTGGCTGACGA